ATGCTGGATCCATAAGCTAAAATAACCTGAAGGTTTTAATTTGATACATTTAATAAATAGGAAAAATGTCAGACTTTTCACTTTTTGATGATTATTATTGTTTTTTAGAATTGTTAAGAAATAAAAAAATGAGAGAACCAAAAATTAGACCATTTTTAATATTTTAAATTGAACCCATAAACCGCAGCAGCATGGAATCATATTCAATGACCTAAAAAATCATGGTAACAATTCTAACACTGCAGTTCTACAATAGGGCAAAAACTGTAAACCCATTAAAATATGTAACTTCAAACAGTATAAAGTTTCAGAAATACCTTCACACCACTCTTCCTGGTGGGGTCATTAAGTTTAACCCAGCACCAACCTAAAAACTAATTTGCTCCATTTCAGACAGATAACTTTAATTTTGAATAAACAATAAAGGGAAATGGGGAGAGGCTAAACTTTCACTGCCAAGCTTGTTTTTAGCCCTTTACATTGATTTATTGATTTCTTTTTTTAAGCAAAGGAACACCAACTTAAAATCAGCAAAGGCTTATTAATATGTTTATGCAAAATTTAAATCTTGATAAGTAATTTTTTCTTAAAATAAGTGCATTTGTTCTTGAATTGAGGAGATAAAAGAAACATCTTGCCAATGGAACAAGACAATTTAGATTTAAAATAAGAAAACACAATTGCATTCTCTTATTTCAAGTGAATACTATCTAATTATCTTATTTTAAGAGTAAAAATACTGATTCCATTGGCAAACTACCTCATTTACCTACTCAAATCAAGGGTAAATACACTTAATTTAAGAAATTTTTACTTATTTCTAGGTCGTTTTTCCAGTGTAATTGCTTGCTTTCAGGTCAAAATAGAACTGTAACTATCAACTAGATTTAAGATCTTAAAAGATCTTAAGCCAAGCTTAAATAATCTGTTTTTCAAACACTAAAATAGTAAATAAAACCACAGATATGAAGTTTTTTTACATTTTTATATTTAATGCTGATGAAAAGATTACAGCAAGGCCCCATTTCTTGGTCACTGTCCAAAAGTCATCCCGACGCATTGTGGCTCATGGACACAAAGCTCATCCAAAAGGAGCTAAAAATGTATGCTGACCAGGACAATATGGGCGTTGTTCAAATCCTGACAAGCTCATTTTTCAGAAGGAGCAAACTCATCAATGAAAGTAATTTGAGGACAACATTGTCCACTGCTCAGCATTTGACCTATGCTGCACAGTGTCACAACACTATGAAGCCAATTAAAACTACTTTCACCCATTCTAGAGGAATTGTAGGTTTAATTCATCTTTAGAACAAGATTTATGTGCTCTAAACAGCCATATGGAACATCAATGTATATTTGCTGCATAGCAAGCAGGGAATAGTCGCCTTAAAAACCAAAAAGTACTTATAAAAAGATAATAGGTTTTGTTAACGGTTCCAGAGGACCCAAATCCAAAGAAAGAAGCTGAGGTGGTTTCTTGTAGATTTCATAAGCAAAAGGTGGCAACTGAAGCTAAGGTCCACAAACAAAATAGAGAAAACCAAAATTAGAATTAGGAGCAAAGAAACAACAAGGGACCAGCCAGCAGTAACTGAACAGAAGGAGTATAAATGGGAGGCTGAAAAAAGACTAGGCTAATCAGCAGATTGGGAGCAGGTGTGGACAGAACAACCTAGAAGGGAGCTAGCAGAAGGAGATTGACACCAGAGGGCAACAGAGGGTAAACAACAAATACATGGAAACAAAAATACAAACAAAAACAACTAGAATAACAAAAAATTGAAATAAAACCGATTAAAACTTAAAAAGAAAACATGAACAGAACCAAAACCATGCCAGATATATAGACTAATACAATAAAACATAACCAAAATAATGTTGTTGTTTTTTTGTTTTTGTTTTTTTGTTGTTTTGTTTTTTTGTTTTTTTTATTACCAAATCCCTCCCACCCTTCACAAATTGCTAGTTTGGGATAGAATATGTGATTCACAAAGAAGCTCACATAACAGTCAGACAAACCAATAAATGTTAAACTTTGTGCCTCAGCTGGTCAGTAATATTCTTTCGGAGGCATCCTTTATGTATTTGTAAATTAGCTTTGTACATCAGTCTAGGGGAGTTTCAAGTAAAAAAAAAAACTTAAATGTAATATATAGTAATATTTTACACCTCTGAAATTATTTTAAGTAATATAAAAGAAGAAAACTTTGCTTACCTAAAATTGCTACATTTTCACATTAGGACACAAATACGTAGTATTATGAAGATTTGTCCTGTTTAAACCTTAGCTTGGTGTACTCCTGCCCTAAACACCATACATACTAAGATGGAAAGAGCTGCCTGGGGCTTCAAGAAAGCTCTTTTACTCTGGTGATTGAACCAATAGGATCCTAAATTAATGAAATGTCTGCCCTTCAGTTTAGAAAATAAGAAACAAACCAAAGAAATACCAAAACCACACAAGCAGAGTTAATTCAAAGCAACAGCCAAAACACCAGGTTCTGGCCATCCAATTGTGTTCACTTGGAGATAGTGCAAGACGCTAAAAGCAAAGACACAGGCCATTGCTACTATGATATGAAAGTATATGTCTGTGTAATTAAAAAAATAACTGCTTAAGTTTGATTGCAGTTCAAAGGTATCAGAAGAGTTGGTACTCTAGGAGAGACACGACGGGCCAGAGTACAGTTTGCCAGAAAAAGTCCTGGACAAAAAAAAAATCTGGTATAATGTGCTTTGAAGGGATCATTCAAAAATGACATCATGTGGACATCAGAACACTAGTTTGGTGTAAGGTAATCACAACATCCCAGAAAGTAATGTGTCATGGTTTGAGGATGTGATGATCAACTCACCATCATCATACCCACCATAACATCTTCAATGGATCAGGTGAGGAAAATTTTTAACCATTAGTAAAGAAACAAACACTCAAAAAATTAAGTAAATCTGGTCTGTGAGTATGGCCCAAAATGTAATTCCACCAAGAACTTGCTAAGAACTAAGAAACGGGAAAGTCCTGGAGAGCCAAAGCAGATAAGAGGCAACAAACCCCTTAAAGTCTCGCAGCTCAAGGTTTGGGGTGGAGCAAACCTCCCTTAGACCAATTTTAGAGAATGGTTAAAAAAGGGTCTCCACTAAGTTATTTCATTCACAAGGGATGGGGATTTTATGATTTTATGATTGAGGGTACAGGACAGAACTCTCTTTTAATTTGATTAACTGCAATAATTGGCTGTTTTTTATCTTTAACCTGTAATTCTTTAATTTGCAGAGACAAACCACAATATAACAAAGTACTTTTGCTCATTCGTGGTAATAAAGTAAGTCCTTATTTATTACCAGGAATAAATTTAGATAAAATTAAGAATTTTCTGTCTCAATAAAAAATGAATCCTTGCCTTTACTGGTAATCTGCTGACAGTGAACTTAAGGATAAATGTCAAAGATCAACTAACCAAACAGAAAAGGTGTCAATATGGTAGACTGTAGGTAGATTTTTTAAATTTTTTTATTCTCCAGTAATAACAGTCAAAGTGTGAATTACAGCCCGCAGAATGAGCAGAAGGCACCAATAAGGAAACAATGAGTGACAGAAAGAATCCCTCCAGTATTAAGATCTGCTCCAGAAACCAGGAATGGCTATAAGCCAGTGTTTAAAAAAAGGAAGATGAGGAGGAGAGGTTATGAAAAAGAACTGAAGGAGGGGGCCGCTTTTCACAGACTCAAGCTGCATGGTTACGTAAGAGATAAGAGATGGTAAAATCAAACACCATACACTTTAAGTCGAAGCTGGACTGCCATTGCACCCTCCACAGCACTCGCATCGCACCCTCATTCATACTGTAAAAGCAGCAGGCTTTCCCTGCCTGAACCTCTTCTTCCAGATATGCCCAGTATGCTCTCTTTCAGACATGCAATACACACACACACACACACACACTAGCTTTTAGAAATAAAAGGTTGATGAGATCTGTCTTTCAAAGAAAATGGAGTTAAAGAAAAAACGATGTAAGCTTAACTTGGGATTGACGTCTCACCAGAGTAAAACAAAGAATGATGGTATGCGGCTCATCATCATATCTAGTTTTCCTCAAAAAGAAATAAAAAAGATATGGAAAGCTATAACAAAATCAGTCTATGTGTGACAGATGAATAACAACTTTTCTTTTTCACTTTCTATTTGTGTAAAAGATTTCGATCAAATATACCCAATATAGTTCTTAAAGTGTCCTGTGAGCCCAGCCTCCCCACTGTGGGAACGATGAAGCTGTGCTGTGCTTCTGTCCATAATGCTGTCTCTACTGCATCAGGGCAGATTGGTTTACAGCTAGCCTGGAAAACAACACACTAACAGGACGGCTGGACCGACGACCGGTTTCCCCACCAATACACAATCTGCGGATGACTCATTTTCATTAATGAGTTTCAGTGAAAAGCAACGAGCATCCAGAGAAAAGTAGCAGACCTGATGATCTGAGAGGGGAGATTTATTGCCACAACGAACCTTGCCAGTTGTTCGGCTCTGCCCGGTACTTCTCAGTCAGACAGAAGCCTGCAGGTTATTGCTCTGCAGTCATTACAATTCTTCACTGAGAAAAAAAAAAGTGGGGGAGAGAGGGTCTGTTGCAGAGTCAAGCAAGCTTATTGTCCTGGTGGAAAAAAAAAAAATTTGTACTGCAATGTGAAGACAAAGAAAGAAAAGAGGGTAGAAAATGTATTGAGACAACTGAGAAAGAACAGTCAATAAAGCAGTTAGGAGTAGGACAGCATGCAGAGTGATCTACCGTTCCCTCGTGTCTGTATGCACAGGACATACATGTGTTTCAGTGTACACACAGTGGAAACACACTCAGAACAGGGTTCCCATGTGTGCCCTGGCACCCCCTGACATAGCATGACAGAGAAAGCGTTAGGGTTGTCTCAACCCTCTTTGCCATCCTTCCCTCCTGTCACCCCACCCCTACCTTACCCCCACCTGTGAATGGTCCCAGTACCTTGCGCTTTTTATCCCTGGAGCGACTCCTCTTTCTCAGTCTCTCCTCCTCCTTCTCCTTTTCCTCCTTCTCCAACTGGGCTTCTAAATCCTTGTTCTTGCGGAGATGTTTGGCTGCTTGTGCCATGATGCTGTTGTTGTTGGTGTAGGTCTCTGCAGTGTTGGAGCGTCCAGATCTTGTTACACTGGTCTGGCAGAGGGGACGGGCACTGGGTCTCCTACCTGATGCGGGCCAACACTAGCACTGCTGCCTACTGTTGTTCCTCTTTGGCCCTGCAGAGTCTGTGAGCGTGCTCACCCTCTGCCTCCTCCTCCTCTTCAGCAGTGCAGTCACACACACACAGCAGCGGTCTTCAGCCGTCTGCTGTGGGATGCTACTGCAGCGCTGCTCTCTTCCTCTCCCTCCCTCTCCCTTACTTGCACACTCTTCCTATCTCACTTTCTGTGCTCAGTTTCTTTTCTCTCAGGTCTCCCTCCTTCATTAATCCAAAGACAGAGGGGGTATAGAACATTGCACGTATAGGTTTTTCTTCTTTTATAGCTACTTTCCTTCTTTACATCTCTTCCCCTCATCCTGTAAAATGGCTTCGATCCTCCTGCCACTCTCCACATCCACAAAGATTGCACAGGGATGAACTGACAGTTGGCAAATTGCATGAGCAGCTTTGAATCAAAGTCAGCCTTCCCTTCTCATGCTGCATTGATTTTGTTTCCTTTTTCTGTATTTAATTTCCCAGTATCTCATAGACCTGCTGTGTGTCCATCTGTGTAGGATCGCTCGCTGGGCTGTGCAGGGATCCCATCATCACCTCAGCCAATCACACACAAATACACAACAGGATGCCTTAGGATTAAAACACAAAATCCAAAACATGCATGAAAGGTGCTACCGGTTTACTCCCCACTCTCTCATTGAGCTCCCCCCCACCTCTCCACCTCCCTTGCAAACGTTCAGCGTTGCAGCAGACAGGATCAGTGCCCATGCAAGGCTGGTGCTGCAGTGTGCATGTTTCTTTTAGAGTGAAGCAGGAGCAATAACGGGCTGTTTCGCATCACTTAGAAAGTGGTATTTGTGAATAAACTGTTTGCCTCATTTTGTTCCTTAAATCATATTCATTTAGTTAAATGGAACACAATCAGTTGTATAAAGAGGGTTTATTTGTAAAGAAATATGTATGCACCAGTTATTCTGTAAAGTCCCCAGAAAACAGGCGCATAAGATAAAAGGTGCTAATAGAGCTGGCACCTGTTTACTGGTATTTCTCTGCCTCTCCTGCTCTCTTTTCCTCCCTCCCCTCCCTTCTCCTCCATTTTTTCTCCCTCCATCATTCTCTGAAACTGCTGGCACAGGCAAAAATGATCCTTTAACATCTCTCTCTACCAGCTCACTATACATCACACATATAGTTTACACAGATACTTTAGACTCCCTAAGACATACAGAATCCACACACATGCCATCACATGTGGTTCAGACAGGTTACACATGCTTACAGCCATGAAGCTGGTGACTGATTGTTCTTAGACATTTTCTATTTACTTTAAGGAAAATAAAGCAATGTCACCTTATGTCTCTACTTTCATATTTCAAACTGACCCTTATTATGTTAATTATTTTTTGCTGCAACCTTTTGCATATCTTTTGGCAATAAGTCTCTTACCTTTACAAAGCCTGTTTATTTCCCATTTAATACCAGAGAGTTAAGATATATACAGGTGCTGGTCATAAAATTAGAATATCATGAAAAAGTAGATTGATTTCAGTAATTCCATTTAAAAAATGAAACTTGTATATTATATTCATACATTACATACAAACTCATATATTTCAGATGTTTATTTTGTTTAATTTTGATGATTACAAATGACAACAAATGAAAATCTCAAATTCATCATATCAGAAAATTAGAATATTACTGAAGACCAATAAAAACAAAGGATTTATAGAAATGTTGGCCAACTGAAAAGTATGAACATGAAAAGTATGAGCATGTACAGCACTCAGTATTTAGTTGGGCCTCCTTTGGCCTGTATTACTGCAGCAATGCGGCGTGGCATGGAGTCGATCAGTCTGTGGCACTGCTCAGGTGTTATGATAGCCCAGGTTGCTCTAATAGTGGCTTTTAGCTCTTCTGAATTGTTGGGTCTGGTGTATTGCATCTTCTTCTTCACAATACCCCATAGATTTTCTATGGGGTTAAGGTCAGGAGAGTTTGCTGGCCAATTAAGAACAGGGATACCATGGTCCTTCAACCAGGTACTGGTAGCTTTGGCACTGTGAACAAAAGGCACAAATGAAATCTGCATCTCCAAAAAGTTGGTCAGCTGCAGGAAGCATGAAGTGCTCTAAAACTTCCTGGTATGTGGCTGCGTTGACCCTGGACCTCAGAAAACACAATGGACCAACACCAGCAGATGACATGGCACCCCAAACCATCACTGACTGTGGAAACTTTACACTGGACTTCAAGCAACGTGGATGAAGTGCCTCTCTTCTTTTCCTCCAGACTCTGGGACCTTGATTTCCAAAGGAAATGCAAAATTTACTTTCATCAGAGAACATGACTTTGGACCACTCACCAGCAGTCCAGTCCTGTTTCTCTTTAGCCCAGGCAAGACGCTTCTGACGCTGTCTGTGGTTCAAGAGTGGCTTGACACAAGGAATGCGACAGCAGAAACCCATGTCTTTCATACGTCTGTGTGTGGTGGTTCTTGATGCACTCACTCCAGCTGCAGTCCACTCTTTGTGAATCTCCCCCACATTTTTGAATGGGTTTTGTTTCACAATCCTCTCCAGGGTGCGGTTATCTCTCTTGCTTGTACACTTTTTTCGACCACATCTTTTCCTTCCCTTCGCCTCTCTATTAATGTGCTTGGACACTGAGCTCTGTGAACAGCCAGCCTCTTTAGCGATGACCTTTTGTGTCTTGCCCTCCTTGTGCAAGGTGTCGATGGTCGTCTTTTGGACAACTGTCAAGTCAGCAGTCTTCCCCATGATTGTGTAGCCTATAGAACTAGACTGAAAGACCATTTAAAGGCTTTTGCAGGTGGTTTGAGTTAATTAGCTGATTAGAGTGTGGCACCAGGGGCCATCAATTTTGAACCTTTTCACAATATTCTAATTTTCTGATATGATGAATTTGAGATTTTCATTTGTTGTCATTTGTAATCATCAAAATTAAACAAAATAAACATCTGAAATATATGAGTTTGTATGTAATGTATGAATATAATATACAAGTTTCACTTTTTAAATGGAATTACTGAAATCAATCTACTTTTTCATGATATTCTAATTTTATGACCAGCACCTGTAATGTATTTGTGTGTTAAAAAGCATAGTTGTTGCACCCATTAAAAACTTGTGATATCCTTTCAAACAATGTCAAACAGCTTATTCTTCCGCAGGGTCTTGTTTGGTGTCCTTTATTGGTAACCTATGTTGGACGAGGAGTGTACAGTAAACGTGTCAAGGCTCAGAACAGGGGACCCAGTATACAAGACAGACAGACTTAGACTTTATATTTAGACAACTTTTCATTGTTATTTTGTATACGCAGAGTGTATACAAAATAATATTTTGTTTAGCTTTTCAGACAACAAATTAAGATTTCCATTCAAGAAATTGCAGCAGTGATCAAATGCAAGCAGTGTGAGAGAAAAAAAAACATGCAAAAAATGCATTGATATGGAAGTTCAGAACATTAATATATATGGTGCAAATATGCAGTATTTATGGTTTGGTGTTTGCAGACAGTCAGATAATTCAAATGGCGTTAAAATTGGGGGATCTGCAGTAACAGCAAGGAACTTCTGGTTTTATAGTTTATAGAACAAAGTTGATTCCAGCCGGACGGCTGCCAACACGACCCATCAGCGAGTCCGAGACGCTGTAGTCCCAGAGGACAGTGAACAAGCAGGAGATCAGATCCGAGAAGACAAAGGAAGGTAGAAAAATCCAGAGCGCGAAGCCGAAGCCGGTATCGAGGACATGCTCTGGATTCAGAACCAGGAGTTTAGAAGTCCTAAGAGGTTCCAAAAGGAAAACCAGGATGGTGAATTAGTTCCAAATTCAGTAAACAGGAAGAATCCAGTGAGTGTCCAAAGACAGGTCAGACAAACAGATCAGAAAGGAACAGGCAGGCACAGTGGTTGAGAGGCAGAACAGGTCAGGATCAGGTAATCAGAAACACTAAGGTAACTCTTACCACTGGCTTACCACTGGCTCAAGAATAATCTGGCTAATCATTGACTAGTTAGTTAGTTAGACGGCTGGTTAAATAGAAGCAGGAGCAGGTGAATCAAATGAACAGAAAGGAGAAACTGGGTAGAGTTAAGCAGGTGAATGAAATAAGTGATCCGGCCAGTCATCCGCACCAAGTTCATGATAGAGCTCCTGGCATCAAGGTGTATTCTAGACGCCCTCCTGGGCTCTAAAAGCCTTTAAAGAAATTAACCAAAACAAAACAACCTAGACAAGGCTGGTCGGGGGTCAGAAATGCCAGAAAATGATCCAAATCACCCTTAAATACCTCAGGGGGAGACAGACACGGCTTCTGACAGCAGGAGAAGTAGACGCCGAAATAGCCTGACAACGCAGGTAATCTAGAATCTCTTGCCTGACTCGAGTCAAGAAATACATTGTATAACCTCAGCACGCAAATGTTTATCTGCCATTTGGTCCATGTTTCGCCAGAATAATCTGTCATGACTTAGAGGACCCAGTATTTAAGAAATAAATCAATCACTATTCGGGGAAAAAAAATCAAACATGTTTAAAATTCAATCGGCTGTTGAAAGGTCGCATCAGAGCGAAGGGCAGCACAGTGTGAGAACATGCATCGTGAGCTGTGAAATTTTAAACCCTGCGGTTTTGTCATACAGTTTGAGGTGTAGCTGCGTGAAAGAATCCCACAGTGTATTCCCAGCTTAAGTGGTACATGGACGTTAATTCATAGTTATTTCAAGGGGTCAGTACTATATCTTTTTTTCAGCTTTTTTATTGTCATTACATTGTCACAAGTACAGAGCTACGGAATTCTCACTCTGCATTTAATCCATCTTCTTGGGGAGCAGTGGGGTGCCATTGTCCTAGGATCAGTGTGGAGTTAAGGGTCTTTGCTCAGGGGTACAGAGTGTCAGTCTGTGGGAGTAGGGCTCAAACTCAAAACCTCAGGATTCCAAGCTTACCATTAGGTCCCCAAGATTTTTTTTTTCTTCGCCCTAAAGGAAGGAAAAATGGTTATAAACTATGATTTAAAAAAAATGGTACAGTAATACCTCTATTTGACATGGATTTTATGTTTGAGCATCAGTTTATCTTTTGGAATGAGGTCAAATTAGCTGTTAACTAATTTAA